AAGTTTATTAATGTAACGAATTCGAGGAATAGTTCTATCCGCTATTATCGATAATAATATTTATGGAGCTATTTCATCACTTCAGTCATATTTATATAAGTACCAACACGCACTTTACATACTAGTCATACAAGAGAACAGAAAAAAAGAAACAAATATATAGTCAAGGTCAATACTACGAATAACAAGTCATATTGAGAAAAGAAATCAAGTGTAACGATCAATAATCATTACAATTAAGTCTTTCGAAGCCTTGTAATCTATTGTTTCTTCCCTTGGTTTTAATACATGATTATGATAAACAAAACAAAAAAAAAGTATATATTTTAAATAATATGATATACGATTAATTTCTTGTTTAAGTACAAATAATACTAATATAAACTACATATAAAAGATCATTTTGTTATCTATAATATCATTATAATTCAATAACTAAATATAAATAGGTCTTTTTTTTTCACCCAGCATATTTTTCCTTCAGTGACTACTGATATTAATCTGAATGCTACAAGGACCTCCTATCAATGCAGATATTTGACAGTCGAAAATAGCAAATGTTACAAATGAATATTACAAGAAGTACGTAGCATAATTTTCGGAGATAAAAAATATGGTTAAATTTTCTTTTAGTCATTTTTATAAAGTCGTTAAATATATATATATGTTTGAAAATGTTCTGTGATAGCTAGAGATGTACAAAGATCAAGTTTTTTTAGTAGTAGTTTTGATTTGAGTAACTTTATTCTTATGATCTTGAACATCTCTAGTAACAACAGAATCTAGGCAATTTTTATATTGAAGACTATATTTTAAAAAAAAATTATCTATCATGAAATTAGGACATGATTTAAAAGTACTTTAGTTTTAATATTAATCATGAATTTGTAAAGATGAACATAGTTATAATATAAATTTTATGTTTATTTAATGATATTTTATCAAGGATATTGACTTCATCAGACTAGTTTATACTAGAAAAAAATTAATGTATACATATTTATGCATAGATTCTATCGTTCAGTGTCATCGTCTTGTTTGTTCCACTTGTTAATAGAACGTGAGAGAGAATGTGTGTACAAGAAAATGTACACATACTATCTTTTTTTCCGTCGTGTGTATCTTATATTATAAACGAGTCTGATGAAGTTAATATCGTTAACGAAATGTTCCTAAATAAAAATAAAAAAAAATGAAGTAGCAAGAAAACAATTTTTTTTTCTAAATTAAATCGAAATTGATATTAATAATATTTTTTTAAATATTTATCAATAATTTAACTTATCTTTTTTTCGTTTTTTTTTTTGATTCTACAGGTAACCGATGAATTAGCGATAGAGTAAATGTGTTCTATTATACAAGGTTATCAATATATAATGCAAAGAATAGAATTGGTTTTTTTTTAGGGTTATTTTCTATACAATAATACTAGTAATTCAAAATATTATTTATCTTCAAGTTAATATCTATGATCAGATATCAAAATAATCAATTATTATCGTCTCGTCCATTTTACACTTTTTTTTTTTTTTTGAAAATACTAAGATTTTTTGATATTTTATTTTGTCTTTATTTAAGATATATTGAATGCTATGCATGAGTAATTAAAAAACAAGTTGTCTATGATGTCTTGTTCAAGGTATGTTTTTTTTACCATACAATATCATTCATTCTAACACCATACCGTACTTTTTTTGTATTACTTCCAACAGACAAAAAAAAACCTTCCATAAAACAATACAATATCAAACTCTGTTATTTTTAACATTATTAAATACGTTATAATAACGAATGGATCATGCTCAAATTTGGAAAATTTGCTTGATTACTGGAATTATTCTATTATTAGTTGCTTTTATTCTTGGTATGAATTAAAAAGAAAGAAAAAAAAAACTATAAAACAAAAAATTATTTTTCTTTTCTTAGGATGGATCGGTTTTGGTGTACCTGATTGGCAGAGTTTTCAACTTTATACTGGTTCTGTTGTAGAATATTATGGTCTATGGGCTTATTGTCAAGAACAAACTGTAACATATGGTACAGTTTGCAATCGTTGGTATAGAGCTGAAACTCAATTATTTAATGGAACTCGTCCAACTTTTATTTCTACTTCTGAAGGTCTTATAACCGTTGGAATGATACTTCTTTCATTGGGTCTCGTAGTTGCAATACTTGCTACAATTTTACCTCTTCTTGGTTATGTAGCTTCATTGATCGCACTTATTTCATTTGTTTTTCTTGTTATTGGTTTACCAATATTTGGTCAAGACTCGAATAATTTATCTAGAGCACGAGGTGATGTAACATATAATAAACGTTATGGATTTTGGCTTATGGTACCAACTATTGTTCTTGAATTTCTTGCAATGCTTCTCTTTCTAGCTGCTGCTTTCCTTTATCAACGTTATGGTTATGGTAATATATTCACAGATTCTGATACAGGAGTGAAGAGTGGTTGGCAGGTACTTGGACAGCCTAATATGCTAGTCGGACCACCTCCGAGAGGTTTACCATATGGAATGGGATTACCTCCGATGAATTTACCGCATGGAATGGGATTACCTCCGATGAATTTACCACATGGAATGAGATTACCTGCACCATTTAATCATGATGGTTTTCCTCCTGCTCCATATCCATATTCGGCACCGCATAACCAAGTAGTGCCGTCTTTACTTTCACAATATTGTAATTCACAGTTATCAAGGCCCCTTGGACCTCTTTTAGCACGAAGTATCACTGTGAGTACACTTCCACAACCATGTGTTACTCGAGCTATAGCATCACAACCAATACCTAATGTATTACCAGATTATTGTCGAACTTGTGAACCAGTTGAACCACCTTGTAGATCAATTATAAATTGTACTGGACGAACACTTGTTGGTCCTCTTATGCGTACTTGTTGAACTTGATTTTCTCCTAATGACAATAATTACTCAGGAAGAAACTGATGTTTTTTTTTCTATCTCAACAAAACAAAGAAAAAGAATATTTTTTTAGAATTATTTATATTTAAACTTGCATATTATTACATGTAAGATAATAAAGAACGGGTCTACTAATCATCATAAAGTTCAAAAGCATGAACTTTTTCTATTCCGTAAATAACAGATTATATCTTTCTTCTTTTTTTATGCTTCACAAAATTACAAAGTTAATTATTGCCTTCTTTTTTTTTTTTTGTAGATAGTATATGAACTTGAAACTATGATATATATATATATATATATATATGTATGAATACTATACAAGTAATTATATTGTACATGTCATACAATAGTCGTGTGAAATATGAAGAAGAAAAAAGAAACAAAAAAGGCATCAAACAATTCTTAATGAATAGTGTATGTAATCATCAAATAAGAATCCATATAAAAAATAACAGAGTAGTAAAATAGAACATTATTGTCAGTTAGGAATATATATATATATATTTATTTATATGCCTACTTCATTAGAGAAAGGAAATAGAAATTTGACGCGTAGGTGTACCTGTTATGCGAGAGAGTATGCTTAGCATTTGAGGATCAACAACAGTCAGATGAGAAAAAAGAGAAAGCAACTGACACAAATGCTATATTTTTTTTCTAATGTCGTTTTTCTTGCTCATTCACCTTCACATGTGCATTTGAGCATCTCATACTATTAGAATAACTCGGTTTTCTATGGGTAATGTAGCATGTCTATTATGCTTTTTCTTTTCTATTGATATTGATGAGTTTTTAGACCCTTCTTTTCTCATTTTCTTATATTAGCCGCTAGATATCAATGATAATTTGATGCTTCTATAATAATGATTTTCTTTCTTTCTTTCTTTTTTTTTTTTTTGTTCGATTGAATATTTTGAATATAAATGAGAAAAACTTACATATTTTTTTCATTATCTGCTCGATTAAGAATAGATTAATAATAAATATTAAGTATTTTTTTATAGAAATATTTCAGGTTGTATTCATATGATTACTATCAATGTCATTTAGAATGCTTCTTCTTTATTCTAACAGATATTATTTATACAAACTGATTTTAGTACTCGATCTTTCTTATTTATTTATTTTCTTTTGTTTTTTTTCTTGGCTTTCTATTTCCATCATTTTCATGAACTGTCATTGAATATGGCAATAGTATATTGTCAATTCAAAGTATACTCAGATGAAACAGGGTGTTCATTATTAGTCACGACAATCATCATGATATTTTTCTTTCTCTTTAATTGTCACACAATCCTTCTTAGATTTATATCTTGTGCCTATCTTATATATTTTATATATATATATATATATATATACCTATCGATATAGTTCTATAATGAACATATTATATCATTAGGAATAGTAGATCAGGGAAACGAGGAAGCCCGATAGTCAGTTGTTTTTTTGTTTAAGCGATGCTATTCATTTTTGCTTTTGTCAATAAATTTACTGTATCTTCAGGGATTAGCTGATGCAAAGAAACAATAGAAATACAACTAATATATTTTATCGTTCTTTCTTTCTCTCTCTCCCTCTCTACATATATATATATATACCTATCAACACATCGATCATATTTTAACTCGCAATTTTAATTATTGAAGAGTTTCAAGAGTTTGATTTTGCACAATAGTTATAAAGTTAACGTGTATGATTCTCGATAAAAATTTGCATATTATTTATCAAATGGAATATGTCTGCTGAAAATTGTATAAATATTATTGATTTCTTTTTTTTTATTTTGGCGTCTTTTTGTTGTCCTTAGGCAATATTGAATACATAATTAACAATGATGTGGCATACAAATGAATTTTTCGGAAAGGAAACACATCTCGATAAATGAATTAATCAGCTGTTTTTTCGTTATTCTATTGTACGATCGAATGCTAAATTATTGAGTATGTCACGGCTGAACGGTTGCGCAAGATGGCCGAGAAAATTGAGTATGGGAATATATATCCATATTTTGCCTTTTTTTTCTTATTCTGAGTATCATCTTTCTTCGTTCGATTCTCGATGATAGAAATAGAAATAAGATTAGCTCGCAAGTGTCTATATGTGCACGCTAATATTCTCGTTTGGTTAGCAAGTGCTATTAATGAAATCTCATTTTTCAAGTTATGCTCTTTTTTTTCTTTCTGTGTTGAAGAAAAGGATTCATTCATTGTGCTCTTTTTCTATCTGTGTCTCTTGTTTTTGTGTTGGAACGAAAGAGAGTAGATAGAAAATGGTTTGCCAATCTTTCGATATATGTGTTGCCAAAGGCAAATGTCCTTGACACTGGCTAGGCGGCACGATCAATGATGTGATATATTGGGCAACGACACGTTATCAAGTATCTTTTTTTTTTCTATCTAACCAACGAAGTATAAACGACGATTAGGAAATTCTTAGTACGCATGCAATAGTTAATCATCGGAAAAAAAATATAACTAAAACTAAGAGTGTAAATAACGATTGTTTTGGAACATGAGAAAACAAAAAATAAGAATAAAAATTTCTATTCGAATTCTTTCTTTGGAATGTGGGTTAATGTTAACATGAACATTATGACATTTAAAGAAATTTTCTAATAATATACTTTTTGTTTTTTCGAAATAATTCTACTTTATAATTGTATCTATTCATAGGTTTTCTTTGGTGTTGGTTTTTTTTTTTGCTTCTAGAAAAAAATAACTATGGTAATTACTACAAATCATTGGATTTCATCTGATATTAATAATAATAATAAAACAAAATATTTAATACAATTTACTCATGATTATTATAATTATTCAGATTTATCACAAGAATTTAAACCTGTGTGGATTAGTTTATCATTGATTAGTAGTAAGTAATAGAATTGTTTTGAATAGGTTGAGTACTTCGTTTTTGTTGTTTTTTTTCGTTGAAAAAAATCAGAGTTCAGTGATTTATGGAGATTAAGTTAAGTATTTTTAGATTCTATAAGAATGTCATAATATAAAAATAATTAACGATTCTGAATATCAAAAGAAATCTAGAAATCAAATGATAAAGAAAATGTCACATGCAAATATCTTGAGGATGAACAAAAAAAAGATCGCCTTTGTTATTGAAATAAAAATTTCTATTTATAGATTAAATAAGATGAAAAGTTTATTTTGAATATCTAATAAAAAGAAAGTTTTTTTTCTTGAAAAATTTACATTAGGAAATAATATTTAGAAAATTTATGAACTTCATTATAGATCAGAGAAAGAAAATGAAGCATAAGTATTCTTTACTATCTATGAATAGAATGAACAAAAAAAGAAATAAGTTTTCAAGATTAGTAATATGATGCATTGCTTTAGAAGATCCTGATTAAAGACTTTGTCTATTATATGCACACCTACACTTTAATATATGAAAACTTTTGAAACCAAAAAAAATTATTTTCCATATTTATGTTTACTGCGAAAAAAAAAATATAACAAAATCTGATTTATCCTTTTCATGATAGAGGAATTTTAATGATCTATTGGGATTAATTTTGATAATTAAATTCTACTTTTAATTTAAAAAAAATTTTTTTTTTTTCTTAGTTATTATATTCACTGTTGGTGGTAATAGTCTTGTTTGCATTGCTGTTATACGTGATAGAAGTTTACAAAATACAACGAATTATTTTTTAACATCACTTGCATTTACTGATTGTCTTGTTGCATGTCTTGTTATGCCATTAGCTGTTACTATTGAATTTATTGGACATTTTCCATTTGATGCATTAGCTTGTAATGTTTGGTCGACATTTGATGTTTGTTGTTGTACATCATCAATTTGGCATATGAGGTAAATATGAAGATTTTTTTTTTAATTGATTATTTAAATATATTTTTTTTTTGAATTTTATTTTTATCTTAGTGTTATGTCACTTGATCGTTATCTTACATTAAGATATCCATTAAAATATGGACGACATAAACGTCGAAGTTTAATGGCATATAAAATCATAACAATATGGTTAATATCGTTTGCCATATGTTTACCATTATTTATTCTTAGTCTTGTTGATTCATCAAATGTATTTGATGAAAAAAGTCGTGGATGTTTTCCATCGAATCGCATATTTAAACTGTATGGTACATTTGTTGCTTTTTTTATACCATTAATTATTATGATTGTAACATATGCACTAACAATGTCTGCATTACGACAAGCACATACAACAAAAAAAAAACGTTATAAAGGTCGAAAAAAAATTCATGCTGTTATGAATATTGCTGCGATGGCTGTTCGATGGAAACGAGCTGTTAATAATGTTGAAATATCATCAACTGAAAAACAACAACAACAACAACAACAACCATCAATTATATCTGAACAAGAAATTCAACCATTAAATAAGAAAATGCCTGTAAATCATGAACGAAGACGTGCATCATCATTACGTACACATATCAATTCACAAAAACCTCGATTTACATCAAGTCAACGTTTAAATGAATCTTTAAAAGCATCATCATCACCATCACCATCCATCAATTGGCAAGAACAGAGAGACAAAAAATTAGAATTATTACCAGAAAAATCCAGTAAGAGAGAAAAAAAAATCATATTCTATTATCATTATAATTACATATGAATTCTTTCTCTTTTTTGTTTAAGCTGAACAATCATCAGATCAACATTTAAATCCAAATTGTTCAAATAATATACAGATACATACAAAACGTTCTCATTCTTGTACACCATTACTTGATGTTGAACATATTCATAATAATCAACGACGAAGTTCATCTATTCATACACTTTTACAAATTCGTCGAGATTCAGCAAAAATAAGTGAAGAATTAGCTAATTTAAGTGCTCAATTATCAGCATCAATGAATAATAATGAAAATAATAATAATAATAATAATAATAGATCAATAAGTAAACGTCCTTCACTTTCTGTTCCACGAACAATAGGTTTTGATGAATATGATACACCAACAATAGATCAATTACTTGCAGAAACAAGTGTTAATCAACCAATTATTATTCCAACATCATTACTTACAGTTGCTCCAAAAAAACGTCAACGATCGTAAACTAATTGAAATTTTCATAATTTTGATTGGTTTTTGTTTTTTTCTTTAAGACATAGTGCTGATATTCGTTTACCAATATTTGATTCAAATGATGATAAAACAACAACAACAACAACAATGATAAATTTACCAATTCCAAATGTTCTTGTTACACATGATAGTATTTCAACAACTTCAATAGATAATCTTCAACAATCAACACCATCATTAACATTTGATAAAACATGTCAACGCATTAAAGATTGGATTACAGTTACAACATCATCAACAGCTCTTAATATTGATCATAATTCAACAATACCAATACGTTGTACATCAGCTATTCATATTACAGAAAATACACCAATGTTAATAAAAAATCTAAATTATCCAGAATTTACTAATCTTAAACGATATGATACCGGTATTGAACAATTATATGGACAAACAACAGCACCAAATTTTCTATCACGTCCTCAACAACTTTTACTTGTTGATGATCATGTTTCATCAGCTCAAAATTTTGCTTCTCTTCAACGTAATAGTATTGGTTCAATAGCATCATCAATGTTAAAAGCTCGTCTTCTTCGAAATAATCGACCAAGTACAACATCATCAATTGGTTCATCATCTTTACAAGGTATAAAACGTCAACGTCCACCACGTCTTATTGATGGAATGTCACAAACTAGTTTTCAAATGGTTTCATTAGATACTGAAGATACATCATCATGTACATCAAGTCTTACTCAACATTCAATTCCTATACAATCAGCAATGGCAGGAACCAATGGTTCAGTATCATCTACTACACATAAAAGACGTCAAAGATTTAAAGATTTAGCTAAAAGTTCTATAGGTAATGAACGTAAAGCCATGCGTGTATTACTTATTATTTTTTCAATATTTGTTATATTATGGACACCATTTTTTGTTATTAATCTTCTTTCATGTTTTACAACGAATATTCATCCAATTTTAATATCAATTACAACATGGCTTGGTTATTGTTCATCATGTGCAAATCCAATTATATATACTATATTTAGTCGAGCTTTTCGTCGAGCTTTTGTTAATACGTTAACATGTCGAAAAGTAATTCATTCACATCGTCCATCATGTCATTCAATGGTTAGGTCAACTGGACGAAAATTTTCATCACTTAAGAAAGGACAAATCGATCAATGTTAATACTAATTATATGTTTTTATTGTGTTAAAAAAAAATCTTTCTATACATTAGAATTCTTTCTTTTGTTTTTTTTTTCAAATGTCAGATTTATATGTTATTGTTTATTTCATTCAAATTTCTCTATTATCATTTAATTAAAAAGAAAAATTTAAATATTTTTGTATTACTACTGAAATGATATTAGAAGTTCATAGATTCCCTTGAGAATATCATTGAAAAAGAATCAAAGCAAAGCAAAGCAAAAAAAACAAAATCATGCTTAGGCTAATGATATGATGTTAATTTAAGCAGACAAATTGATTAAAAATTTTCTTTATGAAAATGTTTTTTTCTCAAATAATTCATGAATATAATTCTATGAAAGCTTGTATTACGAAGAACAAAAAATAGATTTGTATAATTTTAAATTTTGTATCGATATGTTAAGAATCAGTATCCTCTTTTTAGTTAAGTATTCTTTGATGAAATATATCGGGTAAACATTTTCACTTAATAATAGATTTGAAAGAGCAGCTGTCAAAAATAATTATTAAGAAAATCTTGCCCCAATATAAAGCATCATAAATATAGATAGATTGATCTGACATGATGTTCGTGTTTCATGGTAGCTTCTTCATTGGAATGACTATTGAATATAATGAATTTTTATCTATTATAAGTAACTCATGAATTTTAGAAAAAAAAAATATAAACTATTTTCTCTTTAATATATACCGGATTTTGTTCGATTTTTTTTTTGGTTTCTTGATTTATTTTGAATTGATATAGACGTTGAAATAGGTTTTTGAGTGTAATCTAGCAAAGAAGAAATTTACAATCAAATTTAAATATTCTTCAACTTGTATCAATTTATAAATTATGTATCTGTGCAGACACTGAGAGACAGTAATAAAAAAAAATAATATTATGAATGAATAACTCCACCAAATTTTGCTAGTAAATGATCCTTGAAATGTCTTTTGATGTCTGTAATTTATTGCTTTTTCTATAAATTGTATCATAATAAGTGAGATATTAAAGAACAAAGTATATTTCATACATCAGTTTATGTTATACCAAACAATTACTACTAATCGATTTATAAAGCTTACACTCTTCTATCGAATCGATCATTATATAGAGAAATTGAAAACGAAAAGTCAAGATATAAATACCTTATTATAATATTTCTGAAGTTGCATGATATTTTCTTGATATTCCAAAACAGAACAATAATGATGTTTTGACTAAAACAAGCAATATAACTATACTTGATCGAACTATTTCTTATGGAAAATATCTTTCATTTGTATATGTATCGTTGATATCACCTAAAGCAATTGAGGTATTTTGGATTACATGATGGTGACACATATGGTTCTAAGTTCATGATTGTGTTTTTATGTCTTTTTACATTTTCATTTTCATCAAAGTAGAATAGTGTTCTTTGATTTGAATAAAAAAAATACATACTATGAAAAGCAGAGAATCTTCCAGAAAACCCATGAAAAACTTTAGAGACTTTGAAACTAATAAAATTTACTATTTCTTTTTAAGAAAAGGAAACTCCTACTCGACAATACCCGACCTCTACAGAGTTTGGCAACATGTTCAATTCCTTTCTCTATCCATTTGTTTACTACTGAACGTGTTTTTCAAAAAACTTTGATTCATGTTTTTTTTTTGTGTGTAGTCGATCATACGATTCTTCTTATATGTAGAAACATAAAATTCTTCAATATGAAAGAAAGAAGAAAAAGAAAAGAACATTTGTTACTTTTATTTTTTGTTTGAAAAGTTTTAGTTGAATGCATGATTGATCGAGTATAAGAAAAAGAAATCTTTTCGTGTTTTGTTTTTTTTTTCTATTTTTAATAGATAGAAACAAGTTGCTACTAATCGTTGACATTGAAATTTATTCCTATTAATTTTTCTTATATTTTAATAAAGATGAGTGTTAATAAAAATCGTTCGAATACAATTTATTTAAATCAATTAATAACAAATATTCCTGTACGACGAAAAATAGTCGATCATAATGATCGAGATAAATTCGAATGGAATCAAGTATGTATGAAATATTCCTTTGAAAATTAATATTAATTAGATTCTTTTTCTATCTAGTGGCAAAGTGCAACAAAATCAATTAATAATGTTGAAGTATCACCGAAAGAAAAACATGTTAGAAGTAAGAAATCGAAGATAAATGTGTTTTTTTAGGAAAATATCGTTGAATTTTAGATCTTATTCTTGGTACATTTCGATTAGAAGGTTCTCGTCTATTTTGGACAATGATGACTAGAATTAATATTGAATCACATTCGATTATTACTTGGAAGTTTTGTTATATTATTCATCGACTTTTAAGAGATGGACATCAAAATGTAGGTTATTAATTTAATGTATTGAAAAATGTAGCACGATATTATAAAGGTTTGAAAGGTATCTTCTATAGTGTTTGTTTCAAACATTATAGATATTTCATAAATTTAACGAATATATAAATGAGTTGTAACACATATTCGTTTGACTATATAATTGAAGCATTGATTAAGATAAATGAATGATCTTAATTGGTTAAGAGTAGACTTCAGTACTCTAAAACAACTGGTTTTTTGTGAAAGGAGTGTTGAAGTATGTAGGATAGAAATTTGAACTCATTCGCCCTTCTTCCACAGACCGTATATCGACAATAGCTCGTTACAACATACTCGCTACTTTCTAATTGCGTTTCTGGAGGATTAAGTAAAAGAACGGAGAAGAAATGTGTCTCAGGATGTGTAGAATAAAACAATCTTCCTTTGATTAGTAACAGTAGTGACAGCGCATGTCACATTGTAATCCTGCAGAAATTGCGCTAACAGCTTTTTATAAATACACGTTTTCCAGTAACTAAAACATAGAAGAAAATAACAAAAATGTCCTCGAAGACCTTAAGAATCATCTCCTGCAGTTAATTAATTAATAAAAACAGATGTATTTTATAAATTGAAATATTATACTACAAGTTCCATTGTTTTTACTGCCTATAGCTTATATTAAAAACTTTTAAGACAAAAAACTAAACTGATTGAAATCACAATAAAAAAAATCTTTTTTGAATGCTTACGTACAAATTTCTTTTGGATTTCTATATTTTGTATGAATTGATAATACTATGAACAAACGTGCAACATGGGAAGTAAATTGTATTTTTCTATTGAGACTTCAAGTCGTAGAAACTAAACAATGAATTAGTCACAATATTTCCGTTCCAATTAGGTTTTACTAATCTTTGAACGTCATTTAGGTCATTCGCGATTCCATTCTATTAACAAGTTATTTTGATCAATTAAGTAAATATTGGGTAAGTTAATTTCAACAGCGGTTTATATACACCTCTCGGCAAAAGTATTTTTACCCCATCTCATTTCTTTATTTTCAATAATTGCTTCCTTTTTATTATTGAACTAAAGTATAACAAAAGCATTTTATTTTAATATGATGTATAGTCATCATTGACTTCAATCAAGCATTGCACTCGTCTTCCCATACTATCGATCAATTTGACATTCAGGGTTAATTGAGAGTGCTTTCCATGTCTTTCTTATTTCTTGTTTGAACTCTTGAATTGTTTGAATTTTTTTTTACTGATGATATCTTTTATCATCTACCAAACGTTTTTCAATTTGGATTTTGATTTGGTGATGAATAGGATCGAGACACAACCTGAATTCGATTGGTGATTGCCAGACGAGATCTGTAATTAGAATCAGTGTCCTCTTGAAAGATCCAGTTAGCTGGATCTTAAGACTATTGCACACAAAATCTCCTGTCAAATTATGTTTGAAAATAATTAATTGTTCAAAATCTTGTTTTGAAATACATTCTCAAATGTAGAACTTGAGAGGATATTTAACTGTACGAACAATTTTTGTGACATCTGAAAATTGCCAAACTTTTCTTCCGCTCATCGGTAAAAATTACGTTGTCTCAATTGAAGTTTTGGCGCTGTCGAGTCTAGATAAGTTGTCACTCAAGATAATTGTCTGTAAGTAAGGACTTTTTTTACAGGTAGACCGTAACTGCCTTCGCTTTTACGTAATCAATGTCTAACAGTACTTGGATGTACATTCATATCGGCTTCTTTCAGAGTTTCTGAAATATCGTTTAATGTAACATTCAGCTCACATTTGGCCGTATAAACAATCTTTTTACTATCTGGTAAGCCAATGCCGTACGATTTTTGATTCATACCCAATGTACTTTGAAATAACTTTATTTAACATTTTAAGACCCAGAGCATGTAATGTTATACATTAGTTCGATAATAAAAAGAAAGCAAATATTGAGAATTTAAAAAAAAGGGGGAATACTTTTGTCCACGGTTGTATATATATATATATTTAGAATGGGTCATAAGTAACCCTATGATAATTAATTGAAATATCTCGAAATCGGTTCATTCAAATGGGTTGATCTTTCTTCATTGATGGTAGAAATTTTTTTTTCATTTGTATTGCTTCAAAATAATATTCCGTTGCTACCTGAGAGAATAGAAAAAGAACATCTCACAAATTCCATCATTTTCTCGTTATGGCTCTTGAGAAATTGCCTATTTCTATGAAAAATATTCTTCTTTTTCCAACAGTGAAAATGGTAGATCTCTATCAAAAGTTATTAAAAAAAATGGTCACATGAATTATATTTTGGCGCCAATGGCAGCTAGTTTAAATGTTGAAATTCATGTCCAATAATTAAAATACACAATTGAAGCCTTTCAGACTAGAGATCGTCCGGTTGGTTTCGATCTGAAAATTTTGAACTCAACGAGCTCTGTTTTGGGTACTAAATCGCCAACTTCACGCTTGAAAATTCGAAATGTAAAATTTCTTTAATGAGGCCAATAATAGTTGTATTTGTTTACATTAATTATATGAGGAAAAAAACTACTTTGCATAAACCGAAATGGAGATATGTTAATTATTTCTCGTAGTA